ACGCATACATGCGCGTCAGCGAGATCTTCCACGTCACAACTGCTTCTCTTGTTCGTGGGACATCCCTGCTCTCGCTCTCTCCCTCTCTCATGTTATCCCTCCTCCATGCGTGCCTCCCTTTCCGCCCTCCCTCCGTTCCTTCCTCTCCTGCCATCATGCGTTCCTCCTCACTCTCATCATCCTCATTTGCGCCCCTGTCCCCCTCTTTCCTGCCTTCCCTATCCCTTGCCCGCTCCCTTGCCCTTTGCGCTGCGGGCCAACGGACGACGTCGGCCAAGCACCCTCCCCTCACGAGCCGCCCGTCACACGTTGCCTGCTGTCAGGCGTGTTCGTATTATTGTATACTGCCCATTTGCTAGTCCCCTTTGCTTAATTAGTGGCCCAGTGCCCAGGCACAGCGACACGACCAAACGAGCCAGCCGAAATGAGTCGCCAAAAGTGCGCGCCTTAACGTACGCCAAAAGTTGCGCCCAAACTGTCGCCCAAACTTGTCGCCAAAACAGCGCTATGGCGGCCAAGACGGCATATGCCGATACCGCTGTCCAGACATGCCGCAAAATAAAATCAAGTTGTATTCTTGTCTGGAGGGCTTTCGGGATGACTCGACTTGAGAGTTCGTTCGGCCCTCTCACTTTGGAACATTTTGGCGGCTATTTTGGCTCCCAGATTGGGCGGCAACTTTTGGCGTAAGTTGTCGCGCACGTTTGTCACGTTTGGTGACTACTTTTGGCTGGCCCTTTGGTGGTTTGTTGTTCTGGAGGGGTTTTGACCGAGGCTTCTCAGCGCGAGTGGCTGGTGCTGGTCGCGTAGGGTCCGCGCGGCCTCAGTTTTCCTCAGGGCCATGGCCCGCCGCATCAGCATCAGCCAGCCTTTCCAGGACATATATGGAAGGAGAGAGGGGCACGTGTAGGAGCTGGAAGAGGGAGGGAGGGCCAGAGGGCGGGAGGGGAGAAAGGGAACGTGGAGAAAGGGAGGGAGCGGAGGGAGAGAGGGAATACTGGAGAGTACACGGCGGACACGGAATGAGCCGGGAGCCCCCCCCCCCTAAAAAAACAAATCCAGTGTGAGTCGTTTGACACCTCGTCGGGTGTAGCGCGGGGTCCATCCAGGCGCGGGCCGCCTGTCGCACCTCGATCCCTTCCCCGCGGGGCTTGCAGTGCCACTGAAGTTTCGCCCCACAGGTGCTGCCTCGCGCGAGCCGAGCGACATGCTGGGCTTCATGGGCCTGTTTTCCACCACCACCACCACCATGAGTTGGAGGGGGGAAGGAGGTGGAGGGTGAGGAGGAGGAAGAAGAAGAGGGGTAGGAGGACCCCCTCCCCCCTTCAACTTATGGTGGTGGTGGTGGAAAACAGGCTCATCAAGGCTGGTGGCCGAGCTCGAGCCGAGCGTCGCCCCATGCGCGCCTGGCGCGCGCTGCCTGTCACGCCCCGGGTCGGGGGTGGTGACGGGCGGCTGGCGCTGGGCGCGTCGCGGACGGCGCTTGGCTCGCGCCCAGCGCCCCTCACAAACAATCGCGCGTCTTGATGGGCTTGTCTTCCACCACCACCATAAGTTGGAGGGGGAGGGGGGGTCCTCCTCCTCCTCCTCCTCCTCCTCCTCCTCGTCATCCACCTCCTCCCCCCCTCCAACTTATGGTGGGAGTGGTGGAAAACAAGACCATCATAATTGAGGTGGAAACAGCGGGCGCGCGGCGTCTCGAGCGGGCGCTGCCAGGGTGCCGCTGCGGCGGGCGAATGGCGAACGTAATTGCGAGACGGCAAGCGCCGCGGCGGCGGCGTTCCGCGCAGAGTTCAGGGCCCCGCCAGGCCCTTCAGAGCCCGCGCCTGCATGAACAGCGAACTGACCGCCTGCGTGGGATGCGGCGACCGTGGCTGCTGGTGCTCCGCGTTTTCTACACACACGCATCGATTACCCTCGCGGGCACATCGCGCGGCCGCGGCCGCGTGCGCGGCGAGCAGTGCATCGCGCGCCGCGAGCGGGCGCCGCGCGCAGGGTGGGCGCCGTTGACGCCCCCCAGCGACGGGCAGCCGCCGCGCCCCCCGCATTTGCAGCGGCGCGCCCGGGCGTGGGCGCGGGTCAGTGCCAGGGCTGCCCGAGTCGGCCGCGTGCGGCCGCGACCCTGTCGGCGCGCGGCGACGGTGGGCAACGCGCCCCGGCCACGTCAAGAGCGCAACCGCGGGCACGGGCTGCGCACGTCGCAGCAGCTGCGGGCCGCGGCGATTCCAGAGAGACGGAGTCGCCGCGCTTCCCATTGCCGGCGCGGTGGAGGGAACTGCACGTCGAGCAAGCATGTGACCACGCGCCGGAAGAGACAAAGTGACGGGTCATATTTTTTGGAGGGTTTTTTGGCGCGGGATCCCCTCGTCGGTTCGAGGGGCGGTGAACAGGTGGCTCATGGGCACGAGGGTGAGCAGGAGGGTGAGGGAGGAGGAGTAGGACGAGGAGGAACAGCATCAGCAGCAGCTGAGCAGGAAGACAAGGGGGGGAAATGATCGAGTTGAACGAGGAAGTAGTCGGATGCAGATCTGTGGCCCGCGCTGCGACGAGAATTCCGTTCTCAAGGACGGGAGCAAATAACCGATTTTTGCATTAGACCAGCTCTGCAGCCAGAGCAGCACCTTGACACATCGAACACGTTGCGATTGGAACATAACCATGTGACACATCATGTTGTTTCTCGATCAAATCTTGTGCGTCAGACGCACGGAGAGCGCGGGATGCCTCCAGCACGTAGCAAGTGGAGGGAACAGATTGCTAAGGCCTTGCGGCCGGTGCCGCCGACCCTGGAGGCCTCAACCCTCGACGGACATGGGAGGGAGAGGGCGGGCCATGGGCCCCGGGAGGGTGGTATCCTGACCCCGGACCACCCCCTGGGACTCCCTTTCGGGGCCCCTCCCCTTTCGAGTAAACACCGACGTTGCTCAGATTGGCTTCACCTCCACGTCGCGGCCGCTCCCTTCCCGGGTATCCGGGTATCCGGGTGGGACCTGCCCCCCCCCCCCCCTGGGTCCCTGGGTATCCGGGTGGGACCCCCCCCTTTCGGGGGGAAGGGATAAAAGGGAAGGGGCTTGCCTTTGAGTAAGCTACGACGTTGCTCAGACTGGCTTCCCCCTCGTGTCGCGGCCGCTCCCCTCCGCGTCGCGGCCGCTCCCCTCTCCCGAAGGGAGCCGCCCGGGTGCCCCCCCCCCGGGCATCCGGGTGGGACCCCCCCCTCACCCCCCCCCCCCTCGGGGGGAAGGAATAAAAGAGAAGGGGCTTCCTTTCGAGTAAGCCACGACGTTGCTCAGACTGGCTTCCCCCCCGTGTCGCGGCCGCTCTCCTCGCCCGGGGGGGAGCAGCTCCCCCCCCCCGGGTCGCGGCCGCTCCCCTCACCCGGGGAGAGTCGACCACTCCCCCTTTTGGAGCCGACGTGGCGGTGTTGTGGGCAGCTCTCCTCCCCTCCTCCCCCGAGGGAAGCCGACCACCGCTCTTGGAGCCGACGTGACGATCTCAGCACGTAGCCAGCGGAGGGAACATAAAATATGAATTGCCTTCGGCCCATCCCGCCACAGTGCCTGGGTTGTGGGTCACAGTCATAGGCCTCTTGGATGTTCGTTGGGATGTCGCTGGAGGCCTCTCGGGGGCCTTTTGGAGATAGTTTTGAAGCCTCTTGGTGGGGGCCGTGCTGATGCGTTTGGGGCCTCTTGGGGCCTCTGGCGGAAAGCTCAAATTGTCGGTTCGTGCTCTCCCCCCTTGCGGCCGTCTTGAGGCTTTCATTGGCCGTGTGGGGCGCCTCTTGGAGCGTCGCGGGCCCTCTTGGGCCGTCTTCGGGCCCTTTTAGGGCCTAGGGGCCTGTTCCTAAGAATCGCACATGCTAAGCATGAATGTTGTCCTGCAAGCATTTGACTATTTGTGCCTCTTGGGAGGCCCCTTGGGCCTCTCTTGCGGCGACTTGGGCGCCTCTTCAGCCGTCTCCAGGCCATCTTGGGCATCTTGGATCGATCGTTCGGCAGTTCGGGGCCCTCGTGGACCGTTGTGGGGTCCTCTTGGGGCGCTCCTGGCCCGTTATGGGGCTCTCTCCGGCCCCGAACAAGCATGCTATATTATCTGGGAGGCACGCGGGAAACCCCGAGACATCGAGGATTGTGGCTGAAAGGATTCGGCCAAGGACCTCAGGACACTCCATCTCATGCCTCCGAGCACGGTTCTAGATTGTTCTTCTTGAACGCGTGCCGATGAAGGGGTGGTTGATGGAGGGGAAGAACAAGTGAATGCAGATGCGGAGATGCATGGGAAGGAAGACTTGGCGAGGAGGTGAATTGGTGGACGAGGATGGAGAGGACGAGGAGGAGGAACGAGACAGGTGGAGCAGGTGGTGTCGAACAAGCAGGCATGGCCACATCGCACCTGTGAGTTCAGGAATGTCCACTTCTCTTCCTCATTCTTCGCGTTCTCCTTCCTTCCGTGTCCATCCTCAATCTGGCGCCGCCGCCTACTCCTTTCTTTCTCCCTCCCCCCCTCTCTGCTGGCCTGCTGCCAACACAACAGGGCGGGCTAGGCTCCAGGGGTCGGCCAGCAGCTTGCAATCCCCCGAGTGGACGCCACTGAGCTGAACGCCCTGCGTCCCAGGGCGCGCGCGTATGCCCTGCAGGCGAGTGCCACGTGGATGGGACTGCGTCAATGCAGTTGCTGGTCTCCCGCAATCCACCGTGCTGTCATAGTGCTGAGCTGGCGTCTTAGGGTATATGTTGGCGACCTGCGTCGAATTATGGCCCCGTCGTGCTAACCCGTTTTGATGCTCACCCTCCGTCCCCCTTCCTCCTCTTCCTCCTCCTACTCTTCTCATCCCTTCCCCTCTTGCTGCTGCTGCTGCTGCTCAAGCTGCTGTCCTCCTCCTCCCCTTCATGTCTCGTCTCTCCCCTCTTTACTCCTGCACCGCCCGGCCCCCACACACGCCTCTGTGTGGTTTGGGTCACCATGAGGAGTGGGAGCTCCGCCAGAAGACGCGCGCCCTGGAGATGGAGGCGGTCTCGAAGGCGCTGGCGGTCCTCAGCTCGGATGAGGTGCACAATTTGTTCACCAGGACAAGTGGAGTCGGTACGATGGGCAGGCACTTGCAGCGGGATAGTGCAGGTGGCATGAGCAGCAGCGGAACACTGGAGCATTGAGGAGCAGGAGGAGGAGGGGGACCCGGTGGAATAGGAAGAAGGTAAAGGGGCAAGGGTCGGAGGGAGGGTGAGGTAGGGGCTAGAAAAGGGAGAGAGAGAGAGAGAGAGATAGAGGGAGAGAGGGAGAGAGAAAGAGAGCGAGAGAGACTTATTCATACACGTGTATGTAGACAACTGAATATGCATATAAAGATGTAGAGAGACATACTTACTACTTATATTGAAATGTATTGAGAGAGAACGACAAGAGAGAGAGAGAGAGAGAGAAAGAGAGAGACAGAGCGCTGAGCCCTGTTTGCTCTCTATTCGCCGCTATTTCCTCCCTCCGCCGTCTACCTGCGTGTGCTACCTCTCGTTCCTGTCCATATCCTCCCTCTTTTACCCCTGTCCCTCATCTCCCTCATCCCCCATGGTCCCCCTATTTCTACCTCCCTCACGCAATTTGGGCGCACGCAATTGCGAGGCCAGCCGGCCCCCGACAGCCCACGCGCACACTTCTCGGGGCTTCCTCGTAGCGATTGGGACTCAGACAGAGGACCAATCCACAGCCCGACGTTTGCGACTCACACCGAGGTTGTTGCATCAGTACAAGCATGGTGCACCTGTGGTCGAAGTGCAAGCATTGCCGACGCTGCGAGTGGAATTCCGTCACTGTCAAGCACGGGGGACGCTGGTCGGCACGTGGCCCCCATATCACGCAATACAAGCCACCAGCACGCAAGGTACATTGGGAAAACGAAGTGTATCCAGCAGAGGCCGCACCCAAGCCCCCCGAGGGCCCACGAGGCCGCCAGCGCAGCCACTCAGCGAGAGGTTCGCGCAAGGGTGGGAGCACGGGCGCGTCGGACAACGGCTCCTCTGTCACCGAGCTGCTAGAGTTGGCGGCCCAGGCGACGGAGGACGCAACCCTGCAGGCGGCGCTGAAACAGCAGATCGAAAAGATCAGTGCCCAGGCCAAGGCCGACTCCGAGGCGACCATTTCGCCCCCGGAGGCCCTGCGCAGGGCCGACGGGGCTTGGAAGAGCGCGGAACACCACCAGAACCAATGCGTGGACAACGTGCCCCGCCTGCGGCAGGACATTCAGGCCGTGGGGGCCAAGGAGGAGCGGGCCGCTATCGCCCTCGCCCAGGCGGTGGTGGCCAAGAAGGCGGCGACTCAGGCAGTTGCGAGGGCGGAGGGTGTAGGTCTCCGCCGCCGTCGGCGGCGGACGCAGCCATATTCACGATCGAGTGGGACGAGTCTTTCTTCAGCCCGTTGGATGACAAATGCACGGCGGAGGCGCGCAAGGCACTGAGCACCTTGCACAACCAGCCATAGGGCACCAATAATGACCTCAGCGGCAAGGAGGCTGAGATCAAGGCGTGGCTCGACAGGGCCAGGCATATGCAGAAGGATAGATCGGACTGCACCACGAAGAAGAGGAAGGGCTGCAACGGGGAGGCGATGGCGGACGGCATCACGACCCAGAGCGAGGCTGCCCAGAGCTCCGCTGTTCATGCGCCTGCAGCTGACACCGCCAAGGACCCCGAGGCGCCGAAGTTGGCGCCCGAGATCACCGAGGAAGAGGCCAATCAGTTGACTTCGGCGAAGTCCGTTGCCAAGGCAGGGGAGGCGGCGGCCAAGTCCAAGTCCAAGGGCAAGGGCAAGGCTGATGTGGGAGAGGCGGCCGCTGCCGCTTCTTGAACATCTGTAGACGATGACCACCGCGCCGAAGGCACCACGACATTGTCCCATGCGAGTGTCACCGCCTTCACGAAGAAGGTGTGGCAATACATCAAGTCAACTTTTTCCAAGCACGCATATTGGGCCTGGGTGGAGACCCGAATTCACGACGAGTCCGAACTCAGGGATGGGGACAAGAAAGCAAGGGAAGCACACCTGCGCCTTCACAGCAACGTGGCCCGCCCCCCATCCAAACCTGTGGCAGCTGGTTTCGAGGAGCTGGCGAACGAGGGCGGCGAATTTTCCATGGCCCAGCAGCACCTACAGGCGCGCGCCCTTCCAGAGGCGCGGGTGGCAGCTGGACATATCCGCGAGGTCGGCCAAGCAGGCCTCGACGGATTTCTCCCCGCGGCGCTGCGCATGGCGGCGTCCTCGACCACTGTGGCCTACGCTGCCCAGCATCATGGTGACAGACCGCAACAAGGTCAGATTCCACCGGCTGGAGGTCTTCTCCAGGCTGCGAGGCTCCCGCGGGTGACCGTGGGAGACTTCAACATGGGGCGCGACAGTCTGGGGGCCACCCGATCTGTGCAGCAGCTGAATGGCATCATTCGCGCGGCAGGTTCAGAGGGCGCATGCGCCGACAGCCGAGGGCGCGACAAGGCGCTCGACTATGCGGCCTGCAGCCCTGATGCCATGCCACCCCTGATAGCAAGCGGCGCTGCGAGGTCTGCCCCTTGGGAGCCTCGCCAAGGCCTTGCTCTGGAGTTCCGCAGTTCTGGCCTCCTACTCCCCGCCCGCTCTCTCGAGGTCACCCCGAGGCTTTCTCAAGCCCCTAGGCCTCGCAGAGGGCCCGCGGTATGTTCTAAATCAAGCTTGTCGCGGGCCCGCCAGGCCATTGCTCGGCGCGGGGCCCTGGAGGCCCGCAGGTCTCGGTTGTGCGGAATGTTCGGGGATTGTTGCCAAAGCTCTGGTGCCCCGTCGTCGGTGGAGGGTGGAGGTCAGGCCCCGAAGAGGTCGATGAATCTCTCGATTGTTGGCCTGGCGACGAGGGTGGCCCGTGGGCTGGCCAGCTCAATTCTTTACGCTTCGCGCATCCCCACCAGCCCATCTCACAACAGCAACTCTTGCGAAGCATGCCGACAGTCGTGTTTTTCAGGCGTGTGTCCGCGTGGCCCCGCATATCTCCCTTGTTCCTCCTTCCTCCCGCCTTCTTGCACATCCTCCTTGTGGGGGGGGCAGGAGAAGGACGAGGCGGAGGAGGAGGGAAAGAAAACGCTCCTCGCGGTTTGAGTCGCTTGGGGTTTGTCGTCCCGGTGTGAATCGTTCGGGCCCTTCTTCCTGGTGTGAGTCGTTCGGGCTCTTCGTGGTGTGAGTCGTTCAGGCTCTTCGTCCTGGTGTGAGTCGTTCGGGCTTCTCGTGGTGTGAGTTGTTCGGGCCCCTCGTCCTGGTGTGAGTCGTTCGGGCCCCTCCTCCTGGTGTGACTCGTTCGGGCTCCCCGTGGTGTGAGTCGTTCGGGGCCCTCGTCGTGGTGTGAGTCGTTCGGGTTCCTCGTGGTGTGAGTCGTTCGGGCGCCTCGTCCTGGTGTGAGTCGTTCGGGCCCCTCCTTCTGGTGTGAGTCGTTCGGGCTCTTCGTGGTGTGAGTCGTTCGGGCCCCTCGTCCTGGTGTGAGTCGTTCGGGCTCCTCGTGGCGTGAGGCGTTCGGGCACCTCGTCCCCTTTTGGGGCGTCTTGGGGGCCTCTTGGCGGCCCCAGGGGTTTCTAGGAGCGTCTTGGGTGCCTTGGGGGAGCCTCTTCGGGCCTCTTGGGAGCCTCTTGGAGGCCGTTTGGGGCGTCTTGGGGGCCTCTTGGCGGCCCCGGGGGCTTCTAGGAGCGTCTTGGGTGCCTTGGGGGGGCCTCTTCGGGCCTCTTGGGGGCCTCTTGGGGGCATCTTGGGGGCCTCTTGGAGGCCTCTTGGGGGTCTCCTGGGGGCCTCTTGGGGCTATCTTGGGGCCTCTTGGTGCCTCCTGGGCGCTTCTTGTGGTGTGACTCGTTCGGGCTCCTCGTGGTGTGAGTCGTTGGGGTCTCTCGTCCTGGTGTGAGTCGTTCGGGCTCCTCGTTGGGCCTGTTGGGGGCCTCTTGGAGCTCTTGGGGCGTCTTGGGGGCCTCTTGGGGGCCTCTTGGGGGCGTCTTGGGGGCCTCTTGGAGCCTCTTGGGGCCTCTTGGGGGCCTCTTGGGAGCCTCTTGGAGGCCGTTTGGGGCCTCTTGGGGGCCCCTTGGGGGCCTCCTGGAGGCCTCTTGGGGGACTCCTGGGGGCCTCTTGGGGCTATCTTGGGGCCTCTTGCGACCTCCTCAGAAGCGCAAATAAGCGCTGACCCCTGAGAAGGACAAAATGAACCCCAAACCTTCGTTAAATCAATGGTTTTGCTAAGAAGGAAGAGGAACGCGGCCCCCTCAGAAGGCCAAAATGGAGCCAAAACCGTAGTAAAATCAATGTGTTTTGCTTCAACGACGAGCTGAGGCGCCAAACTGCCCCCCCCCCTCCCCCCCCCTCGGGGCCAGAATCCTCGTGGGTGTCGTCGTTTTTTGGCCCTCCCAGGCGTCGAAAAAGACTCCCCTGACGACGCTCGGGGCTCCCTCTCCAGGTCCAGGGGGAGGGGGTAGGGGGAGGGGTAAACCCCTCCCCGAAGGGGAAGAAGGGGGGTTGAGGACAGAGCGGGCTCTCTAAACCACTCACGCCCAAAGGGCTGGTGGGATTCCTGTGACTACGGGGCTTCGAATAACGCCCTCATCGCCCCGTCCCATCTCGCCCGCCCCGACGCAAGCTCGGAGAATGGCGCAAGCGCATGTTCGCAGGCAGCGTAGCTGGAGTCTGGCCAGTCTGAAGCAGCATAGCACCCTCTCCAAGTCGAGCCAGACCCCGCGCACACGCACGCACACACACACACACACACACACACACACACACACACACACACACACACACACACACACACACACACAAAAACACACACACACACACACACACACACACACACCCACACCCACACCCACACACCCACACCCACACCCACACCCACACCCACACCCACACCCACACCCACACCCACACCCACACCCACACCCACACCCACACCCACAAACCCACACCCACACCCACACACCCACACACCACCCCACACCCCCACCCCCACCCCCACCCCCCCCCCCACCCCCACCCCCACCCCCCCCCCACCCCCACCCCACACCCCCACCCCCACCCCCACAACCCCCCCCCCCCCCCCCCCCCCCCCCACACCCCCCCCCCACCCCCCCCCCCCCCACCCCCCACCCCCACCCCCACCCCCACCCCCACCCCCACCCCCACCACCACCCCCACCACCCCCACCACCCCCACCACCCCCACCACCCCCACCACCCCCACCACCCCACCACCCCCACCCACCCCCACCACCCCCACCACACCCCACCACCCCCACCACCCCCACCACCCCCACCACCCCCACCACCCCCCACACCACCACCCCCACCACCCCACCCCACCACCCCCACCACCCCCACCACCCCCACCACCCCCACCACCCCCACCACCCCCACCACCCCCACCACCCCCACACCACCACCCACCACCCCACCACCCCACCACCCCCCCCACCCCATACCCCACCCCCACCACCACCACCACCACCCCACCACCACCACCCCCCACCACCACCACCACCACCACCACCACCACAACGCACATATAACGATTTCAATATCGATGTAGATCGGCGGTGTATTCAAGTTTCTGGCCCTGGGCCCAGTCCGCTACGGGTCCCTGGCGGTGAGTCGCCGTCGCCGCCCGCGTTTGCCATCCCCAGTCAGTTATGGGTCGAGGCCCGACGGGGGTTTGGGTTCGCCTCGGGACAGGATTGCAGTCAGTCCCTCTCTCCGTCTCTCCTCGCGTCCGTAGCATCCTGGCTCGGGGCCTCGCGCGCTACTGTTGTCTCAGGTATGTGCGCTGTCTGGATATCCGCGGCCGAGCCCAGCATCGCTTGCACCATGGCTCGGCCCCTCTTGCACGGCGCGCGCGGGGTGCGCGGCTCGCGGAGGGCCCGCTCAGACAGGCAGCTCACCGACGGCAGGCCTACTTGCGAGACCAGGGGGCGCAGCGGTGGACCCAAGTTCACACCGTCGCAGCAGGGATCAGCAGACATCGCCAGAGGGGCAGTGGGCGGCGCCAGCTGGACCAGCACCAGATCGCGGCGAAGAAGGCGGCAGGGGACAGACCTGATGGGGCCCGCGCGGTTCTGCGCGGCGGTCGAGACCCCCCCCCCGTTGCGTGAGTGGCCCCGCGTCCTCGAGAGCCAGTGCCAGTTTCACCCTGCGGTCGCGGAGTATTTCGCCCATGCCGCGATGGAGGCCATGCAGCGAGCCCAGGGGCTCGCAGTCCTGTCGGCCATCATTGACTTCCGCGCGCGGGTGGCCGAGCCTATGGTGAACGGCACCTCGTGCAAGTCGTGCAAGAAGGGGCCGCCCCCCACCTGTGAAGATCGTGGTTGGCCAGCAGTTGGTCAACCACCCAGAGGACATCATGGGCGAGAAGGCGAAGAAGCACCAGCAGCTGCGGGCCCCCACCGCCCCCCAAGTTGCAGGACGTGCGCGAGCTGTTCGGGGCGATCCGCGAGCGGGCGGTGGGCGAGCCGCTCCAGGAGCTGGAGGTGGCTGGCGTCGCCAAGGCTGCTTCGCGCATGAAGGCGAAGGCTGGCATGGGCATTGACATGGTCACGCCAGTGGATTACCAGTTGCGCCGAGTTGAGGGGCAGGCCGAGCTGCTCCTCATCCTGGAGGCCGTCGAAGCCACGTAGCATGGCCCGCGCAGACGCTAGCTGCCATAGGGAAATCCACACCCAAGAAGACGGCGGGCGATCGCGCGATTGGCCTTGCGTCGGTGCTCGGCCGTCTCTGGTCTTCGTTGCGCGAGCTGCAGGTCCAGACATGGTTGGCCGACCGCGCTCGCCATTGGGTCGCAGCCCTGCCTGGCAGCTCTTGCCTGCAGGAGGCGTTCCTGCGGGCGCTTGACGAGGGGCTGGCGCTAACCATGGGCATGAAGCACGGCCGCGAGATGCTCGACGTTGCCACGTTTTACGACGGCGTCCCGCGGGCCTTCTGCGTCGGCCGCGACGCGGGTACATTTTTTACTTGTTTTACGCATCTTGAGCCGTTGCAATTTGCAGCCCCGAGATGCTTGGGGCAGGGCGGCAGTCCGGCTTGTTTGACCCGCTCCTCAGCGTCGCATAGGGGCCGCGCTCGGGGACCCGCTTCGCCAAGATGACGACGCACCACGTCATGATCCCAGTTGCCACTGCCCATCCCAGGATTGGGCCGAGGCTCTGGGTGGACGATTTGTCTGAGACAGTGAAAGGATCGAGCAAGGCAGTCCGCCTGGAGCTCGCCAGCGGCATCACCGCCACGTGCCAGGAGCTGCAGAAGCGGAAGTTGAAAGTTGTGGTTAAGTCAGTGGTGGTCTGCAGTCTGATGAGCGACGCTCGAGTTGTCGCCCGACTTGCACGCGGATCAGGCTTCGCGGTGCAACCTGCGGCCCACGCTGCGCACTTCGGCATCGGTTTCGGGCGTGGCAGGCGAGTTTGCACGACCAGGGTCCAGCGCGATAAGAAACCATCGGCTCATGAGTTCTAAGGTTTGCAGATTCACTCGGGCAGCGCGCCACTATGGGGCCATGACCAAGCACCAGCGGCAGCAGGTCCACGGGCTGTTCGGCGAGCAGCTTACGAGGTGTCGCCGCCGCCGGGTGCAAACGTGCGCCTCCTCGGCGAAGGGGCGATTCCTCACCGCAGTGCTCGCCCTGCGGGCGCCAGGGGCCGACCCAGCGGCGAATTGCCCGGCTCCGGCGGTGGGCGCGCGGCTCAAGACATGGCGCGACCGACCCGAGATCTCACCTGGAGTGCGACGAGCATGGCCCGCCATACTGCGGCAGGTGCAGGCCATCTTTGCGCCTGCCCAGGTGCGTCTCATCTAGGGGCCCACTGGAACCATCATGCACTCGCTGCTGCGCCTGGGACGCCCCCCCCCCCCCGGACCCATCGGTGGTCGAGCCCAACAGGTCCCGAGAGAAGCGAGGAGCGGCAGTTCCCCGACACCATGTACACAGGCAACCCGCACGTCGACCGACGCCACCACCTTCTGGCAGATGCACGCGCGGCTCGCGAGTCCTAGCTCTGGGCCCAGGCAGCGAAGCACTTCTGCGGAGGCGGCCTGGAGATGGAGTGGGCAATGCATCATGCGCCCAGCTGCTGAGGCACGCGCCCCAGGTTCCCAACGGGAAGGTTGCGCGAGATCATGGCCACGGTGGCCGCAGGGGGCACATGGTATAAGCAGCGGGAGAAGCAGGAGCTCAAGAACGGCCAGGGCGCTTGGCAGCGCGGGTGCAATGTAGGAGCGAAGACGCACACGCACAGGTTGGGCCGGTCTGTGTGCGCAAGCAGTCACTCAGCGCAACGTTGCCGAGGCTTTTTGGTGATGCGGGCTCCCCCCCGCGCCCTGGGCGGAGGTGGGTCCGCCCCCGTCAGCTGAGGCTCGGCAGTTCACGGGCGGCCCTGACCTGGCGCCTGGCACGTTTGGGCCAGGCGCCGCCGCCGCCGCCGCCCCTGTGCTGAGCCTTGGCGACGCCAGCGGCGGCCCAGACAGTCGCTTCCCCAGGCTACGCCGAGTCGGCTTGGCCATCGCATGTTTTGAAACATGGATGCCCACCGTCCACTCCAGAGGTTTGCATATTTGGGTCTCTTTGCGGCAGGGGGCGGGTGGCGGCGGGGCGTGAGTTCAAGTGCCTGCACCTTGCACTGTGGGCCACCACACACCATCTCACTTTTGACACGGATTTCGAAGATGTTGTCACGGGCTGGCACGAGCAGCGCTTCCGTGTGCCCGTGGGCCTAGAGGAGCTGATGCAGACATTTGGGCAGCCATTGGTCAGACTATGGTGGCCCGACCTTTCGAGCATGTCTCTGTCCTATTCACCCACCCACACCTCTCGGCTGGCCAAGTGGCCAGGGGGGAAGGCATCCGGCAGCTCGCCATCCGCAATGCAGCATGCAGCTGTTGACGAGTTGGCAGGTTTGGCAGCGGTGCAGGCCAGAGTACCCGAGGCAGAAAGGCACCGCCTCACGCTGCATGAGCGACGCGCACGTTTGGCGCGCCGCAGGCTCTTGCGGGCGGCAGTCGTTTGCCCGGCCAAGGAAAAGGAGCTTGAGAAGAAGGGCGATGGAACAAGACGTGGAGGCCCTCTGCCTCCCCCCCGTCCGCCCCCCCTTCTGCTGCTTTTGCGGCCGCTGTGATGTCCCGGCACTTGTTGACTGACTGCAAGAAGCGCTGCATGGCGTGTCGAAGTTCAGCGACCTTGGCCACTATGAAAGAATGACACACCACTGCGTGCCCTGATTTAGTGAATGTGAATGGTCTCATAGACTTCCCTCCAGTCGGAGGGCGAATTCATGTCGTGGGGGGCTGGTTACGCCGCACTTCTCACCACCTCAACGTGCATGCCGTCTTGCATTGTTGGTTACGTGGGAGGTGCGGGGCGACGGCTGGCTAGCAACTGCGTGCTTTTGCGAAGCCATGCTCTGGCACCCTGGCTCCCACAGGACGTCCAAACCTCAGAAGAATTAGCGAAGGGCTACCCCCAAGGTCTTCAGTTAAGCCGAGATGGCCCAGCGAGGCCGCGGGTAGCGTCGGTGGCATCGCCATCGGTTGCTACTCCTAGTGCCCCGTTTTGTACTTCCCCTTCATTCCTTACTGCCCCTACTGTCTGCTCACCTCTCCTTCACCCTCCTTCCCTCTACCCACGTTTTCCTTTTCTATCATCCTCATCTTTTTCGTCCGCCCCCCATCACTCCTCACTTTCCCCTTACTTACTTCTCACCGTTCCTCCACCGTCCAACCTTTCCCCCCTCATGGTCCATCTCCGTTCATTTTTTTCGTCCGCCCCCTCCTCACCTTGGCCCCCCAACATGATGTCGTCTTTGCCCTCCTCCTCGTCGGAAACTTCATAGCACTCCCCCTCGTCATGCCTCCTCGCTCCTCGATCAGCCCCCGGCCAGGACATTTAACCCGTCGCTGGCCCAGCTGAGGAGCGGGGCGCACTCTGGGCGTCCCGAGCTCAGCGCCTTGCGTCCGCCGCCGACCTTCAGGATCCCTGGAGGGTGGTGAGGACTGCACCGCCGCGGGCACGGGAGGTTTGTCAGTCTTTGTGGTTCGCCCTTCCTCGCCCTTTCCTCTCTCCTCCCCACTGGTCCCTTCTCATCCTCCTCCCTAGGGATTCCTGTTCCTCCTCCTCCTCCTCCTCCTCCTCCTCCTCCTCCTCCTCCTCCTCCTCCTCCTCCCTCCTATTACCTGCCATCCGCCTTCTCATCCCCTGGGGTTCAGGGGGTCCCTGACTGCATGGAGACTGGCATGAAGGAAGCGAGTCCTTGAGAAGAGTAGCTTGTGTTTGTTTTCGCCGTTTCCGAGGCTCCTGGGCTGTCAGGAATCGACCAGGAATTAGGAGTTGTAGGGAGAGGTGCTGGAGGAGCGTGGGGCCGGGTGGGTCGCATGTAGCGAAGGGCCGATGACCGGTCAGATGTATTTTGCGACGATTGCCTTCGGCGGTCCCATGCCCCTCATTCTCTTCGCGTTGCCCTTTCCCTCGGATTTCCCCTTCCGCCTTTCACGATGCGGCCCCCTGTTCTGGTGTCTTCGTGGCATTTGCCGCCTCCTCTTTCATGAGGCGTCTCGCTTGTAGCTGGTGTTTCGGGCTGAGATCCGTGCTGAGGGCTCCTCTGGGAAGGCGTCAGCGGCGAACCACCGCCGCCCCTCTGCGCGTCTATGCTGCCAAGCGTTGGGCCACGGTCTGGCCGAGACCCCACCGATAACCTTTTGCAAAAGGCTGATCCGAGCTAACACTTGGCATGCCAACGCCCCTCCGCATGCCGAACGTTCCTGTGGACAGTGACCGAGTGGCCTTCGGCTAACCCCACCATCGTGCCTGGGGCCTCCGCATGCCTCTTCGGTTCTCGCTCGCCCGAGGTTTCTAGGGAGCCTCTTTGGGGGTTCTTATGGGTCATTGAGGTTTTCTTGGGCGCCATTTGAATGCGTTCGGCCCAAACAGGGCCAGGCACGTTTGAAACACATATGTATATATAGACACACACACATATATATATATATATATATATATGTATCGATCCTGGACCCACGAACATCGCCCCCACCCTCCCCCGCCCCCACCCACACGTTTGTTTGGTCGGCGCAAGCTTTGTCGCGGATGCACATGTGGATGTGGACCGCAACATCAAAAAGTTCTCGTCTCCTGCTTCACCAGACCGGTAGCAAGAGGGCGCGCGTGGCCCATTTTGTCCGAGGGGTTGCCACGAGGGGAGATGAGTAGACGGGGGACGGCGGTGAAGATCATGACGGGGGCCATGATATCTCCCTTGATCTCATGGCCCCCTCTTGTTCGTTCAATGCGTCTCCTCGTCTACTTCCCTCGTCCGCGCACATGCCTTGGGCCATGGTGTGCGACCCCCCCTCGTGGACGTCCCCTTCGTGGCCGCCCTAGATGTTTGCCCCTCGCCGCTCACCGTCCACCCTCCGAGGTCGCGAGCAGGCTTCCCTGCTGCTCTCGCGAGCGGCCTCCAAGCTCCACAGCCCGCGGCTGTCCACCCTGGCGTTGCGGGTGAAGCTTGACGCGTTCACGCGCGTGAAGAAGGCGTTCACCTCGCCTCGTCGTCGTTCACTCCACCTCCTCCACACTCGGAGGGGCTCGATATGTACACTTTGTCGTTGCGCTGGCCATCAGCCAAGGAGTTCGGCGAAGGAGTTCGGCCTATAGACGCTCCTGGCTCTCACAGGTTGGGAACTTGGGGTTAACCGGCCAAACGACGTCGTGTATGCATGAAGATCCTCCCACATCCCTTCTCTTCCTCCTTCACCTTGTCGTCGTCCTCCTCATCAACCATTTCCTTCATCTACACCCTCCACCTCGTCGTCGTTGTCCTCCTCCTCTCCACCCTCCAGTTCACTTCTCCGAGGGAAGGAGCAGGAAGAGGAGCAACAACGCTGGGCGAAGAAGGGGGTCCAGAAGATTGATTCCCAGAGATATTCGGTGGTCTCCAGTAGTTCATTGATGTTCCCGGTGGGTTCTCTGAGATTGCATGTGCTTTTGTTTGGCTCCCTGATGTTTGGCTGGGGTCTCTGAAGGTTGGGGGGGGGCCGGGGAAGAAGGCGCGATTCTTGAGGTTCGTGGGATTGCAGGTGCTTCCAGGGAGGTTCAGGAGACTCCGGGATTCGCGCGAATAGGAGTCCTCGGAGAACGAGGAGGGGGGAGGCTGAGGGAGGAGGAGGGAGGAACGCCTGGAGGAGGACGGCCGTGCCGCATCCAAAGGAAGAAGGCGGGAGGAGGCGGAGGAGGAGGGAGGAGGTTCCTGGAGGTTCTGCGACGCTCCTCTCTGTCGTGCTGAGTCGGAGGAGGTTTTCGTGGAGGCTCCTGGGGCTGGCGTGCGCAGTCTTGGCCGAGTGTTTCCCGTGGCGAGGAGTGACGGGGAGGAGGGTGCGGCGGGAGGAGGCCGGAGCTCCGTGCCTCGAGGGTCGCAGGGTGTGGGCCCGTGGGGTCTTTCCGGGGGCCCTCCTGTCGCCACGGCTGGGTGCGACATGATGTTGACGAGCGCAGCGCGCCCCTCGGACGGATCTGGGGAGGAGGAGGGGGTAGGGAGGAGGAGGGAGGAGGAGGAGGGAGGAGAGACGAGGGAGGAGGAGGAGGGAGGGGAGAGGAGGGAGGAGAGGGAGGGAGGAAGAGGAGGAGGGAGTAGGAGGAAGAGGAGGAGGGAGTAGGAGGAAGAAGAGGAGGGAGTAGGAGGGAGCAAGGGAGGAGGAGGAAGAGGAGTAGAGGAGGGAGGAGGAGGAAGAGGAGGAGTAGGAGGAGGAGAAGGAGGAGGAGGGAGGAGGAGGAGGAGGGAGGAGGAGGAGGAGGAGGGAGGAGGAAGAGGGAGGGATGGGAAGAGGATGCCCTCCCGCCCTTTGTGGGCAGTGCCCTGACCACTCTGTCGCATGAGTCTGATGAGAGGGAGGATCAGGGTGCTGGCCAGTGCCCTGACCACCATGCAGACACCGGGCGGGCCGATTACGCCACTGGGAGGCGATCGACGACATGGTGGCCGCCCTGCTCGAGGAGAAGGCGGCCGAGATCAAGCACAAGGATTTCTGCGTGAAGGAGCTGGACGAGAACCAGATGGAGACGGAGAAGAAGGAGCCTACAAGATGATGGGAGGGGAGGATCAGGGACTCAGTCAACTCGGGGGAGCAGGCATTTCTAGAGATGAGGGGGATTCCGGGACGGGGTGGACGTGATGATGGCCGTGATAGAGGCGCGCTCTCTTTTCCACCACCTTGCGTCCTTCGTGTGCGACGAGTCAGGCGCGCGACAGCCCGCCAGCACTGACGCTGCGAGCTTTACCTCCGCGGCCTGCCTAGGACACAGATCAGGGACTCCTGCGCCAGGACAGTGCGAACCTTAGGTCGGGCATGTCCTCCTACAGGCTGATTTTACACGAGGCATGGAAAAAGAGTCAACGCATATTGAAAGATGTCCAAACGTAGTCAAAACCCAGTCCCACGAACAATGTTTGACTGTTTTTGAATATTCCTCCTGAAGAGGGGCATGCCCGACTTGATGCTAACCAGGGCTTTGAACCTTCCGCCTGGGCAGAGAAGAGAACGGATACTGCTTCGACCCACGGTTGCAGTTGTTCCGGGGCGGGGCGCGAACGTCTTGATGTATCATAAAGTCACCACCTCAGGGGGGGGGGGCTTGGGAGGATGAAGGGACATGACGGGGTGGACGGGGAAAGAAGGGGAAGGACGAGGCAGAGGGAGAGCGGATGGGGGAAAAGGGAGGAGAGCATCTGGAGCCGAAGGGGGAGGATATTGAGGAGGATCGGCTTAGAAGCAACAGCGGCAAGGATCCAAGGACCAGGGGAAGGAGGAGGGTGGATGAAGCGTCGACACTACCAAGCGGAGTGGTCGAGTCGCTGGACAGAGTCGGATTACCCATTGCATCTAGGCTCACGCATATCTGCGTCGGATACTGCAGTTAGAGACTTGTGGGCTGGAAGGGCTGGCCGAAAATTTTGGCCAGGGGGTCGGTTGGGCTTTCCAGGAAAACATGGTAGAGGCGTCGGCGGTGGTTTCTGGGGAGGCCTTGGCGGGGCCTCCTGGGTTTCTGGGTGCCTGTGGAGAGTCTGCTCGCAGTCTCATTGACCAGCTCGGCGGGAAGGGCTCGACATTTCAGTTCGTGATTTCCCCCTTGGGCCTCTTCGCCTTGGAGCCATCTTGGTACGTATCTTGAGGGACGTCGCCGTGCGATCGTGGTGGCCATTTCGGGGCGTATCGGACGCTCGTTCATGTCGAATAGTCGAGTATGCGGTAATCACGTTTTAAACATGTGCTCAGTGGTGATGGATTCTTGGGCTGGTCCCCATGGTTGCCTGGAGAGGCCGACGAGGCAATTTGCAGGATCGCAGGACGAGCCTTGAAACAATGTTTGGCCATGCTGTGATTGTGGACCACGCTTCCGAGATCCCTGGCAATGTAAGGCGTGGACTCTCGAAAGCTCGCGAGCGCGTTCGTGACACGGGGTTCCCGGGCCGCACAGACCGTCCCAATACAGTATTCGACGCACGCATCAGATTCGTGTTCTCTTCGTTGGCCCCGGCCATCCTGTCAAACACTACTTGTCTTTGCTTGCTTGGTAGCAAGCAGAACAAGGGTGTTGGCGACCTATCACGCCCTACGTGTTACCGAAGCAAGCTCCCTTGCATGTTGCGAAGAAGTTCTAGCTGGGAAGAGCTGTGCGATACATGCCGCATCTCAGCAGAAGGTGTGAACACTTACCTCGGGTCGAGCATGGGACATGTTGTCATGTGCATCAGACAGAGATCCCAACACCATACAAAGTGATTGTGCCAAGTGAGGCAGTCATACTGGCACGCACGGCAGATACACTGAAACCATCTCATTCATGTCTGACCAGTCGGTATGGGCGTTTGACCATGTCATTGGGAGCATGGGGCGCACTTGAAGTGCGATTTACCGAAGACCTATGATCGCGTCAACGGCGATCCGATGTTGCTTGGGTATCTAGCCTAGTTCCGATACAATGCACAACGGTGTTGGTTAAGTCATGTGTCCTGGCGAACACATGGAATCGGAAGGCGTCAAATGAATTGAGATCGAGTCCTCAGACAATGCTGGGGGCGTTGCAAGTGCCCGATGCTGCAGACATGTTGACACTAATCGATGGGAGGTTTGCGCGGGCTGACCATGCAGCTGCAGCGTATATGGTCAGCGCAGCATGCTATAGAAACGGGAACACGGAGTTTTGTCGTCGATGAGTTCACCACGCCAGAACATTGGTTGAGGTACATTTTCACAGAAGCAACATGTGGAATTTGATCGATCGAACGGAAAGGTCGACACACTAAACGAGGGTGCCATCCTCACTGCGTACCATCAAGTCTACACATTTTACTCGGGAGTTTCCAGGGTTGCCCTTTCGGCTAAACTAGGCGTCGCCCTGAATCCAGAATTGCCCAACAAGATAAGCAACTTTGCAGCGCAATCAGAGCAGAGGACGACACGAGTTGCATGACTCGATGAATGCGGAGATGCGTCTGCGTTGCAGTACCTTTCAGAACACCGCGCTGCGAGTTGTTATTGGCCGCGTGGAGGATAGGCTTGTTCCAAGGCATCAGAGTCACTCGCTGCGAAGACACGTCGCACCTGACTTGTGAAGATTGGGATGACTAGAACTTGTGGTATGCCAATGTTCGAATCAGTGACGTTGCTAATTTTGGTAATGTTGGTGGCTAAGGGTGGCCTGAGAGCCATGACACCCGGGGTTGGACCGTTGGCGTTACGGACGGAGTGAGTTCCATCGGCCGAACCACGAAGGCGGTACGAACGAGGAGACCAGATGTCAGAGGTGAACGCCGCAATCAGTGTTACGTTTGTGTGGTTTCTGGGCGTATCGCGGGGACCTGCCCTGCATGCAACAAATAAAGTCTAGAGCGGACAGGAAGTACAGCAGAAAGACAGGGTTACGCTGAAGCCCTCGGTGAAGGCCAGAGCACGCGCACTGGCTACAAAACGGGTTAGGGCAGCGTGCATGTTGAGTGGCTTTTACGACGCTTGGGACACAGAACGTGGCACATGATGAATTGTACCGAGCAAAAGCATGCTGCGCAATACCAGTTGAGTGTCATGAGTCCTTGTTGGCAAGTGACAGTTTTCGTCAGTTTCATGATCATGGTTGGTTTCCGTATCGTTATCCCGTCATGTGGTTTTGGTATTATCGTTTCTCATCCACGCAATTTTCTTCTCACGTTCCTGATAGATTATCCTGTTCTTTCCCCTATCATACATTGCCTCCACCTTCTCCTGGGCCACTCCTTCCCTCCTCTGACATCATATTTGCTGGTCGGTCCCGCTCTCCCAGCGCTCGGCATTACTTGACATCATTATGACTAATTGTGCCATCGCCACCAACTCATCACCCACATAGTCATCACCATCATCATCGTCAACAACATTATTAGCAACCACATCGTCACCAACATCATTATATTCATCATCATTACCATCATCGGCGCCATTATCAGTATCATCATCATCGTCATCAGCATCGCCACCACCATCAGGGTAACCATCATCAAATCACCATCATCATCACCATCGTCAGCAGCATAATTATCAGCAGCACCATCACCATTATATCCACTACCAGCATCCGCGTCAGCATCATCACCATATCATCATCAACACCATCAGCATCGCCGTCATCGGTATCGCCATCGTCACCACCACCATCATCATCAACATCAACATCATCGCCACCAGCAACATCATCACCATCATCATCATCATCATCATCAGCATCATCATCATCATTATCATTATCATTATCAGTATCATCAACATCATCCTCAACTTCCTTATCATCATCATCATCACCATCACCATCGTAAGCAACATTAACATCGTCACATTTATCATCATCTTCGCTCCACTCGGCTTCCTGCTCGTCTCCGTCGTTCTCTTTTCTTGCTCGTTTTCCCGATCTTCGTTCTCCTCACATTCGTGTTGTTCATCTTCGTCTATTCATCGTGCGACAGGGACAGGATGGCGCAGTTCTTGGGCTCCTACGTCGTTTGTTTGTTAGTAACCGGGTGTGTTTTCCATCCGTCCAACGGAGGAGCGCGAGAAGCAAGAACTCGTGGCCCTTATCGACACCCTTGAGAGCACCATCAAGGATCTCACCGACGCCCTGGACACTCTCAAGGCGCACGGGATCGAGGATAACCGGATTCCATCGAGGAGAGTCCAATACCGAGGAGGATCGAGAGGATGAAGGATCAGGATCGCGTCCTGCAGGAGTAGTCAGTATCAAGAAAAATTGAAGAGGGGTCATTATCCCGCTCCTCCACCTCTTCTTCCCTCCTCCCGCATTCCCGTCTTCTTCCTCCTCCCACGTCCCCCCCCATCCTTCTTCCTCCCTCTTCGTCCTCCTCCCCCTCGTCCTTCTCCTCCCCCGAGGCCTCGTTCACGCTGGAACGTAAGATGGTAAATTACCCCTGTGCGTGGTCCGCCTCACTTGGTCTTGACCCGCTTGCTGCATCCGTCAGCGCGCCTGAGGAACATATTGTTTGTGTGTGTGTGTGTCCCCTCACGCCTTCTATACATGCACGCGCCTCTCGCCTTGGCTGCTCAGCGGCCGGGTATGCCCGCCGTCCCTCTCTGAGAGCACGGCCTAATTTGTGTGTATTTGTTTGTGTGCGTTCCTCGGCACACCTCCCTCCACGTCGTCTGGCGCTGTATTTTACACACGTGCGTATATTTGTATATACCTATACGACCACCCTTCGGGTGATAAGGAGGTCCGGGGGGGGGAACCAACGTCTCACTCGATCGGTCTCACTATCGATCTCAGTATCGATCTCACTATCGGTCTCGCTCGATCGATCTCACTCGATCGATCTCACAATCGATCTCACTCGATCTATCTCATTCGATCGATCTCACAATTGATCTCACAATCGATCTCACAATAGATCACACAATCGATCTCACATTCGGTCTCAATATCGATCTCACTATCGATATCACAATTGCTCTCACAATCAACGTCATCATCATCATCATCATCATCATCATCATCATCATTATCATCCTCATCATCATCATCATCATCAACATCAACATCATCAC